TTTGCATTATGTCCATTGATATGTCCAATGAGCATTGGACCTGGACATGTCCAGTCCAATGGTCCAATAGGTCCAATGGTCCAGTCCAATGGGAGTGCCAACTCTGCTGGGCAGACAGCAATGAACGTGTCATCAAATTTAAATGGCATTGATTGTCGAATCTCAAATGTAAGAGAAAAATTTTATCAAAAAGAATTCACCGAAAAAAATTGATATAACATAAAAGGTCGTTACAATTTCAACCATTAGTTGTTTCATATCGGTATGGCGCAGAATCTACTGTACAACTTTTAAAAGTATAGGTCTCAAGAACCACCTATAAAAAATTTTTAACCCCATTAACTGATGGTTTAAGTCTCTAGCTTTGATGTTAATGAAAAAAAAATTGTTTGTACACGGAATAAATTGCGCGTTCAATTAATAATATCCATATGAAAGTTTTCCACGTTATACAAAATTTAATTCAAATTTTTTAGTTAGTTTTGAGTCCTTCACTCATTGTCATGACTAGGGATTGGAACTAGGTTGGGTGCATACGGGTCATGAAAATGATCACCCAGGTAACCTGTGGTTTGTCTGACGGGTGATCCGGTTCAATATATGTCATAACTATTTCAAGTAGTTCAGAGATTTACGAAAAATATCATTATCAAGAAGCTGACAAAAGTCTACTATAGAAAGAGTAGAAGGTCTAATTGATAATATATACACTTTGATGAAATCAAAAGTTTTAAAATCAAGTTGCAGGTTGTAAAATCTTGGCAATTAATTAAATTAACATTATTACTATCATAAAGAAATTTACATATTATTTTTTGATAAAAATCGGCCTATTTTTTTAAAAAATATACACATGCATATTCTACATATGACAAAAAACTTCTTAATCCAGGAGTTACTCCAAAAGATCGTGTGCACAAGAGGAAGATATAATGCATGGATTATTGTTCCAGGCGATCAAGCTGAAGAAAAATATTGATTATTAAAAAAAGTTGGGTGCAACTGTTGATAAAGTTAGACCGTTAATAATGTTGGTAAAAGAAAGGTCGAACTCAAGGATAATGCCAATGATGAGGATTAAGGTGAGGATGGAAATAACCCAACTGGATATTTCTGCCAACCAATTCGAGTGATCACCTATTTTTTATTAATAAATTATCCTGATTCTAGACTGGCAAGTAAATATAATATGCCTGCGAAGTTTGCTAATATTACGTTCATGGACACTACATTTCTATTCATCTTAAATTTTGTATCACCACACAATTTACTTTTTAAGCTAATGAATAAATAGGTTTTTAATTAATTAAAAAAGCAACATGTCCAAAACAGCAATTGCAACGGGAGCAGTGAGTGCTACAGAAGGCATTTTAAAGACGACCAATGAAGCAGCGGTGGTGACTGATCTGATGGCACCTTTTTTGCCACTTATATCTGAAGTTGGAGCAATTGTAGTTGAAATAATAGATTTATATCAAACAGCTGAACATAACAAACGTATATGTGGCTCATTATTATCAAGAGTTACAACTGCTCAGAATGCAGTCAACACTTTGAAAATACGTAGACTTGAGAATGAAGATTTGTTCAAGTCAAAAGAATATTATAAAAATCTTCAGAAATTGGTTAACGTTATCAGGAAAATTCAGAAATTCATTGCTGACGTTTCACAACTTAAAGGTCTAAGGAAATTTATGTTGGCTCATTCAATTGAGGATGAGTTCAAACGATTAACTGAGGAATTTGATGGATTAATGCGTGATCTAAATTTTAGCTTGGCCATCCAAATACAAATTCAAATCGAAGATGATAATAAAGCTCTTCGTAAGGACATTCAGGAAATGGCAAATGTAAGCTTTTTATTTATAATTAATTTTTGTCATGTGTGTGTATGCGTGTGTAAGTAAATACATATGTATATTTATTCTTCTATTTATTCACATCTATGTGTTTATTTGCTAATATAGTATCTTCATTCGATTGAAGGAGGTATCACTGACAATTTATCACAAATCAATGATAAATTGGATGATATTTCTCAATTGAATATATTGTGGCAAAAACAATTATTAAACAGTGATGAAGGCGAATTGGAATCAGCAATGATTCCATATATTGAATTACAGGACCCAGCTCGACCAGTTAGACATAACAAAGTAATAAAAAAAGTTCGATTGGGTCAAGATGTAGCAATTAAAGCAAAAGCTGTTTCAAAAGAAGATGACAAAAAAGATATTTTGGGTCAGGTCATTATTCTAAAAAAACTTAAAGAATCTCAATACATTTGTCAATTTTATGGTGTATCACATGATGGAGATATAATGTATTTGGTGACTGAATGGTGTGAATTTGGTAATTTGTCAGACTATTACAAATCAAATGGACCACTTAATTGGCATCGTAAATCTCAGTTGGCTGTTGATATTGCAAGAGGTCTGACATTTTTACATGCTGTCTCCATATTACATCATGATATAAGATCAGAAAATATCTTGATTACAAATCATCATCAAGCAAAAATTGCAAATTTTACTTTGAGTAGAGGATTTGATGACGCCACTAAAAACATTACCCCAACAATTGATAATGTTAGATGGATGGCTCCTGAAAAATTGAAAAATAAAAATTCTCCTTATACTGCAAAATGCGAAATTTATAGGTATTTAATTTAAATTTGTTGCTTAATTTATGGTTGGTTGGTTGTTTAATTCTCCTTTTAAAACAAATTTAAAGTTTTGGAATGCTTTTATGGGAAATTGCTGAAGAAAAAACCCCATTTCAGAATGAAACAGACATTTTAAAAATTGTAAATAATATAATAGAAAAAATACGTCCATCTTTTAGTCATGGAGTTCCGATCGAATGGACAAAACTTGTTTATCAAGGTAAAAAAATTAAAAATTTTAATTCTTTCTAATTAATTAATTAATACTATACACATAAACAAACACATGTATGTATATATATATGGAAATAGCATTGCAAGATAGTCCAGCTGCAAGACCTCCACTTAAAAATATGTTTATGATTTTAAATAACATTTATCAAAAAAACCTACCACAAAAATCTCCAAGACCTCCATTAATCAGCAAATTGACAGATGATGAACTGCCAATTGATGATTTCAATCAATTGGAAATATCTGATAACGAGATACCTGATAATATAATAAGTATACATGAAGCTATAAATGAACACAAGAAACCAAATGGTGATAAAGCTTTAGCATGGAAAGCATTTAAACAACATTCTGAAGACTTTGATGAGATTCTTGCCAAGTAAGTGTAATTAAATTATAGTGAATTTGTGGTGATGAATTTGTGAATGCGTGTGTGATATTATTTTTTTATTCTGATCATAAAATTTAAAATTATTTATTCAGATATTGGATGGGATATTATTTATATTATGATTTGTGTCCAATACAAGATAAAGGTGATAATGAAGCAAGGCAAACAAGATTGAAGCAAGCAGTTCAATTATTCAAAGAAGCAGCTGATGCAAGCATAGCAGATGCACAATTAAGATATGGACATTGCTTATGGGCTGGTGATGGAGTAAAGAAAAATATCAAACAGTCGGTAGAATATTTCCAAATGTCTGCAAATAACGGCAATATAACTGCCATGTATAATCTAGGTAATATTTATCATAATGGTTTGGGCGTTGTTGGGGATGAGGAGAAAGGTAAGAGATATTTGAAAATGGCTGCTTTACAACAACATCCTAAAGCTCTGTCTATGTGTAAATCTAAAGGAATAAGTCTTACTTAAGATTAGTTAGATTTATTTATTTATTTATTTATTTATTTATTTATTTATTAGATCTTGTTTATTAAATTGAGTTTTTAATATTAATGATTAAATTACATGTAACGTCAAAATTTCATAATCCCACACCCCCATAAAAATGAGATCATAAGATAAAATGTCTGGCTTCTTATTGTCTTTAAACTAGATATTTTAAAAATATTGTTTGTAATGGCATTTTTTTGTATAACAACTTGGGCAGAATATTCTTGAATATTCTGTGGCGCAGCTAAGCGAACACAAGGTTCTCTGGTCAAACATTTGAACAAAAAACCACAAATGTAAAACTTAACACACCATTTTTATTATATCAATGATTTTTATTAGTTTTCTTTGTATCATGGACTTAAATTAAAAACTATATTTAAAACTTTAGTTCCCATTAACTGAAAATAAAAATTTAATCTATTATAAAATGAGTACGAATGAAACCGTCTTGGTTATTTATTTCAACAATGATTACCATTTGTCAGTGAATACTACCGCCTGATTGTTTGAAAAATATTATTAAAGATATAACCATAAAAGGTGCAAATATATGCTTATATATTTATTATTGTTCTTTTTGTTTGAAGTGAGGAAGAGATTTGGTAAATTATATAATAATTTCAAAGAATTATATAAGCAAAAAAAAATGGAAAGATGTTTTATATAAAAAAAATATGGAATTCGTGGAAGAAACTTTTAAATGAATAAAGAGTTAGTTTCGACTAATGTTACATTTACTCACAATAATAGTAGGCCGGTTTACTTGATATGACTAAAATTAGTTTCTCGCCGAGCTCTATTGTGACAACGAATAGTGAGCCACTTGAAAAACCGAGTAATAATGAATAACATTTTTCATTGATATGACTAAAATAGGGTTGTGTTGGTCCGATACAGTCTAATCTCAGTTTCAAAGACTGGACTTTTTTTAGAGGACTGAAAGATCGGTTCCCGAACTGGTTAAAAGTCCAGTTAAAGTCCAGTTAAAAGTCGGCTCATATATTTACAAAAATATAATCAAAAGTCGCAACAAATTTATTTATATTGCATCCAGAAAACAAGTAACACACATATTGTAAAATTGCAAATAAAAAGAATATACGTAAAATACTTGTTACTAGTTTTCTTGATGCTACCAACTTTTCAATTAATAATACATGAATGTAATAATCTTTATATATTAATCCAACCACAGAATACCTTATATTATCATACAGATATAATTCTACCTTAGACTAAATCTATTTAAATTAATTAAAAAATCACGATCGGCCTTTTAAATCAATTAGCCAACCAGAATTTTGTGCTGACCGGTTGGAACTTGAACGAAAAATATTAACATATTAGTATAATTAATATCAATTAGCATTAGCATGAGCCGGCGAAGCAATCCGTGGATAAATTCAGATATTCATGAAGAAACTCGGTCATATTTTTTTCTTGAATAATCAATCTTATTACCATCATCATCATTGTCGTCGTTGTCGTCGTCTAATTCATTATCTTTTCTTTTCAATCATCAAAATCACCATCATCATTGTCTATTTGCAATTGCTACTTCACTTATTTTATATTGTTACTTATAATGGATAATTGTAATGAAAGTGAAAGTGAACCTACTTAGATAAATTCAGAACAAGAAAAATAGGATGAAGTATTCCTAAAGAACGCACTAAATAGGTCTTTAAAAAAAAGTCGGGGATGGAATTGGTTCGAAGAAGTAACTTTGTCTAGCGGCAAAAAGATACCAGAATTCCAAGCGTTGATTGCTCCAGAAAAAGTTTGTAAAAAACATAGTAGGCGGATCGACGGAATTTAATTGCACTTGATCAAAAATGATGATTATTTAAGATGAATAAGATTAATAGTAAACTTTTGCATTTAGGTTCAAAATACTATCAATTCTATGGTTACTAAGTCTCGTGATCGTAACAAACAACAACGATTATTAATTATTTTTGATAATTAAATATAGTTAAATATGATTTTAAAACATCCATTAATTCACTTTTCCATTCCTGATGTCAAATTCTTAAAATAATTAATTCATGAATCTTATAATCATACATTCCCACTAATTATCAAAGATATCAAAGGGGTCAGCTAGTTTAGCTACTTATGTGTGGACTGGCTGTAATAGACGGGGGTTTCTTGGCGTCATTTGTAGCTACTTAGAGTGAGTACTTGCTTTGATTATATCAGATATCCACGTACTGCAGGACATATTGTTAACAATATTAGATTAGTAGAGTATTCGTGATGTAGCTCATATCATTACTATTGACAATGGTTCTAATATTAACAAAGCTCTTAATATTCTTGACGATCCTGTTCTTCAATTGGTGGTAGATGAAATTTTATCAATAATAAAACTTTTAGACAAAAGAACAATAAGATTGATAGATTGTTTCCTCCATCCTAAGCAGAGTGAGTATTTGATCAATATTCAAATACAAATAAATATGCATTTTTAATGTGGTAATTTTTTATTTGTCTAATTAAAATAATTTTATATTTTATTCGTTGTATTCATTGTATCGTCGCAGATGTTCCAACTTGGTGGGACTCTATCTACCTTGCTTGGATGGGATTTATAAAAATCAAAGAATTTATTTTATTGCTTGCAAGTTTTATGGAATTTAAATGTGATACTAAAGGAGACTTTTGAGTAATTATTCGAAGCAACTACATGCCTTGGCGGAAATACTTAGTATAGTGTATCCATCGATACAAGACAACTTGGGGATCAAAATTCATATCCTCCAATTCTGGACGAATTTAGATGTATTTCGTTGGATCACCCTTGGATGTATTTTTTGGATTAATATTAAATAAGGATAAACGAACATCCATGGACCGCACCACTAGTGTGTGATGAGAATATTACCTGATTGGTCCAGATCTTAGCCTAAAAACGGGAAAGACATCCAAAAGATTCTTCAGACTTGAAGCATGCACGAAGGAGGAATTCCTTATGAAAAATATGATAACTTAATTGGTAGCTTGCTGGAAGTACTCATTATCAATTTCATTTTCAAATTTTTTTATAAATTTTAAAATATTGAAGCTAACTAAAGTATGAAAAGATGAATAAAATAAATTAATAAATAGTAATTCTTCTAATGGTTTTTCTTGCCAGCAAAACCTATTAAAATCTTATTTAATCATAAATTAAGCCATCAACTTTACTATCTCGTTCATTTGAGTTAGATAATGCTATTCTTGGTGAACGGCTCTGTTTATAATTTCTTTCATCTAACAAAAATTTTTCTGAAGTGATAATTGCCAAGCGTTTATTTTCTGCAACCTCAACTTCTCTTTCTTCTCTAGAAAATTCATTGCAATAAAAATATTTCTTAAAATCTTCATGAATTTTGCTAAAGTCAGGACGATTTTCTGGGTTGGGATCCCAACACTCCTTCATCAAAACAGCATAAAACTGAGGTGTGTCATCAGTAATTTCAGGCCGTTTTCCTTCAAAAATATCCGAAATAAGTTCAAAATGATTATTATGTGACCTATCATAGAATGGTTTCTTGCCTGTAGTGAATTGCCACATTATCATACCAAAACTATAAATATCTGATTTTTGTGTGCATGTTTTTTTTGATAATACTTCAGGTGCCAAGTATGCTATGACTCCAAAGATTTTATTTTGGGTTTCTTTTTTATGTTGACATAATCCTAAATCTCCTATAACACACATATCATTATCATGTGAGAAAACATTTCCACCATGTATATCACGATGAATGTAATCAGCATCATGAATCTTCTTTAATCTAATAATAAATAAATAAGCAATTAATTAATTAGTTAATTACATATATACTTATATTTGTATTATATAGAAAAATCATAAGTTTTAGTAATAATAATTTAAAAAATTACCCAAATGAAATCCAAAAGAGTGAAGCAATTTTATCTTTCCATGTGATTCCTTTGAAACTTTTTGATAAATGATCATCTAAATCTCCATTTGGAGCATGCTCAAATACCAACATATAATTATCTTTGCCTGGATCTTTGGTAATTCCAAAACATTTATTAACGGAAAAATAAAATTTATCATTTGTGCTTAGCTAAAAGTTTGCAAAATAATATTTGTTATAAATTAAATAATGATATTTATAAAAAGTGATATCTTACAAAATTTTACCTCGTTGCATATATCTGAAATATTTTTAGAATTGTTTAATCTTTTTAACACAATATTTTTCATGTGTCTCCCAAATTCCTTGTTGGCTGGCTCAAAATAATTAACCCAAGTTGCTTTATAAACCTCACTAAATCCACCTCGAGCTAAATAACTCCTATCTTTAAATTCATTAAATGGAATCCATTTAATAGTTTTTGAATCTTCCTTATACTGATAAAGAAACCTAGCCATTTCTTTATTTTGACATTTGACAGTTAATCTTTCTATTTTTTTTTCTTGACAAATATTGCATAATAATGTTTCATTTAATTGATTATCTAATATAAATATTTCTCGGCATAATTTATTGATTGCTTTTTTTCTGATATTTGTTTTTAAACTATTTAATGATTTTTTTAATACATCAATTAATTCATTAAGTGACGTTGTGATTTTTTTATCAATTGAACATTTGGTACAATCTATTATTATTCTTAATGTTTCCAGTAATCCAAGTGACAAATTATTTATTCCAATTAATTCGTCTTCACCATCATTTCTTTTATTTAACTCGTTTAATTTGCTATTTAATTCGCTAGTTAATTTTAGTTCAAATTTTTCTTCGCATTTCGACATTTTATAATGATATAACAATTAATTTGAAACATGAAAGGATTATATTTGTCACACGAATGAAAACGCAAAAACTTTATACAAACATGCATTTTGTATTACATGAAAGATACTAATTCTTTTTCAGGCCATTCTGTCAAAGAATTCAACCTTCTATATTCAGCTACGGCTTCCTTATCTACTGCTATTTAACTGATTCTAAGAAGGAGCCTGCTCATTGCTACATGGTGCAAACATATTTTCATCTACTTTCAGAATCATATGTGGCAATGTTAGGCCTTGGTTCTTATGAACCGTCGAAGAAAAAGCGTTCTGCAGTACCTTGAGGCATTAGGGTGTTAGATATAAGTATAATCACAAACATAAGGGAAACCAAATAATAAAATCGATTAGTAAGGGTTTTGTACCACATAAATATGTTGATCAAATTTAAAAAAATTTTTTTTTTGCTAACAGTAACAGTCAATTTAAAAAGTTTATAACTTTGGAAGCAAAATAGCTAGAAAAAAAATTGAAAGTGTTTTTAATCTCTAGGAACCTTATCTACAACGTAAAAACGTTATTTTTTTTGTTTGATATAATTTTTTTAAATTTATATGTATTGACAGTTATTTAGAATTTGTGACAAAACAACATGAAAAATACATCAATGTTAATAAATATTTTTAAAATATGGCTCTGTTACATTGTAGAGACATGTTCTGCGAGCTCAAAACATTTTTCAGAATTAAAAATTCTCATCTGTATGATGATTTATAACAGTTTTCATGGAAAGCGATTTTCTAATTTAATAATTTAATTATGGATTTTAACAAGCGGGAAACTTAAAAAGTTTATAACTTTGGAAGCAAAATAGCTACAAAAAAAATTGGAAATGTTTTTAATCTTTAAGAACCTTATCTATATACAACGTAACAACGCTATTTTTTTTGTTTAAATATAATTATGATGAGTTAGAGCAGTTTATGTAAAGGCGATTTTCTTATTTTAACAATCAAAATCTTAACGTTTATAACTTTGGAAGCAAAATAGCCAGAAAAAGAATTAAAAGTGTTTTTAATTGTTAAGAACATTATCTATAATGTAACAACGCCGTTTTTTTTTGTTTATTATGATTTTTTAAATTTTGCGTTAGTGGACATCTAGAATTTATGACAAAACTTGCATTTTCAAATATAAAAGCATATTGATAAATATGGCTCTGTTACATTGTAGATACATATTCTGCAAGCTCAAATCATTTCCAGAATTAAAAGATCTCATCTGTATGATGAGTTATACCGGTTTACGTTTCTTTAATTAATTAATAGTAATTTGAGTTTAGGTTTTATTATTTGGTTTCCCCATGTTTGCGATTATACTTATATCTAACACCCATTGAGGCATGTACATGTTAATTTCAAAGTTTAAAATGATTTTCTGAATGTTTATTTTAGTAATGTTTTCATTTGTTGGAAACGTGACATCAACATTATCATTGTCTATTCGACTGTAAGCAATGTCCGTATAGGCCCTCTCTCCACCTACACTCTGATAAACACAACTGAGGATATGATAGATGGCATTTTTGTAAAAAAAAAAAGAAGCAAATCAAAAAAAAAGATTTTTGTTTAAGAAAGAGTGCGAAACAAATGAAATATTTATTATATATATTTGCAGTTAGATGAATCATTCAGCAAAATCATCCGAAATCTTAATGGTTGTCAAGAAACATCAGCTAAGCCTTTTTTTAAATACAAAATTTTTATTATCTTTTCTGTCACCACTATAAAATTAAACAGTCAAACATATTTATAACAAAATAGGTTAAAAATAAAATAATAATTAATAATTAGTAAGCCAAACCTCGCATCAACGAAAATTTTTTAAAATTTTTGCTTCGCATATAAAAATTTGTTGAAACGCGATTAGTAATTTTGGTATAACGAATTTTAGAAATTTTCTTGTGTCTCCCCATAGATTCGTCGAAACGAGGTTTAACTGTATGCATATATTTCAGAACCTAATAAACATTTTTTAATAGTAGCGTAAATATTGTTAAAGCATGGAATCTTGAATGGAATTTTTAGTCTGTCATAAAAGTATTGACATGTTCTAAAATTCAAGTATATTATATAAATTTATTATAGTTATTTATTGTTTTATTAAATTTGAGCTAAGGATAAATTCGGACTGGCACGTTTGGAGCTTTAGCCTCTACGAATATGTTGACCAATTGCACATGCTGTGCCCACAATAATCTTTTTCTACTGACATTTTCTTCCCTTGTGTACCTTTTCAATATTGTAATGAATAGTATTGGTTAGAGTGTGTAAATGTTCCAAAAGTATATTATGGCCTGCCTGATATTTGGGTTCTTTCACAGGAGAAGACATTTTGAAAATCGATCACAAAAAAAGTTACATAACAATAACAAAAAACAATATAATATATAAAGCAACACCTCTGGTGTAGAACTCAAGAACTATTTTATATTTTAAAATTTGGGTCCCAACGTATTAATTCACACCCTCCAAGATTTTAACTACATTTAGCAAATTTCAATTTTATCAGGGGGGTTTTCTGGGTTTTCCTGATTTCTGTTTATAGCCCAAAACGGCCTATATGCATATTTTATATGTTTAAAAGGTTAAATGCCATCACTAGGTGAAAATATTTGTTCGATCTCTTTGTTGTGAGGTAATGTTCTATAAGAATTTTTGTTTTTTTTCTTTGATGATCGCGTAACAAGCATCATATAGATGTTTAATCATGTCTGAAAGGGATAATAAAAGCATTAATTAATTCTTAATCGTGGATCAGTTTTTTAATTGATTATTATTATTATTATTACTGACAACTAGCAATTGGCAGGCGACTACGTCGCCATACCACTTATTTATTATTAATTGTATATAAAATATGGGGTTGTAGATCAATTCAACCTATTTTGTAAATTAATTCTTTTTTACTAAATAAACACGATCCTGTAATATAAATATATTAATATATTATGCAAAAAATTTAATTTTGGTCAGAGGGCACCTAAGCTACTTTTTGCTAGAGAACCCCCATAAAGAAAAATCTCTTTTCATAAACTGTTCTAACTCATTATCAAATAAGATTTTTTAATTCTGGGCTCGTGAGATATTTCTTTGTAACATAATAGAGTCACATATATTATGGGTATAACATTGAACTTTCATGTTGAAAATACAATTTTCGTCATAAATAAACTCGTTGCTTATTTTCGGAAGTATACGGTAATTAGTGTAAACATGTGATCAAATACTTTTGAACTCGCAAAAAAATAAATTACAAATGATTAATTATTTGCTTTCAGTTAAAGTAAAAGCTCACTTTTTTGAGGTGGAGAGTTAATCAAATAAAAACATTAAATTTTTATTTAAGAAAAATTTTTGTTCAAATATTTTTTGGTAAAATTTCCCAAACAGGGCAATGCTGAATCCCCTGATGGGTATATTGATTTCTTAAGCTAAAAAGATTCTTTGACAATGAATACATATATTTGTGCCATTTTCAGTCCACACCCCATTTAAGTAATAAAAATGATGATAATATAAAGTAAAAAATAATAATATATTTAAGTAAACAATAATATTGTATGTTAAGTAACAACAACAATGACAATATAAAGAAAAAATAATAATATTTAAATAAAAATAAAATACTAAATAGAAATAAATAGTAATAATAAAATATAAAGTAAAAAATGAAAATAATAGCATATTAAAAATAAAAAAATAAAAAAATAAAAAAAAATCTTATTTTTTAAAACTTTCATTTGTTCTGTTCAGTTTATTGGGAGATTTTCAGCAAGTAATCTAAATTTATATTAATAATAAATAAATAAATAAATATAATATCTTAATTATTTTAATAAAATAGTAATAATTATTATTTAAAAATTTACTCATAATAAATCCAAAGAAGTGACATAATTTTTATCTTTCCAACAAAGTCATGATTATTAGAATTATTCTTAAAAGTATTATTATTCGGATGGTGGTTGATGAAATTTTTTGATAAATGATCATGTAAATCTCCTAAATCTCCATAATCTAGTTGTTATAAAAGATAAAAATAAAATTGTTTAATTAATGTTTTAATAAGGATCATGTGTTGTAAACTTATAATATAATAAGAAATTCATCAGAAATATTCTGTGAATTATGTAGTTTTTTAATGCCACAAGTATATTATATTTACTTCCTGGTTATTATAAAAAAATAAAATTATTTAATTAGATGATGGATGTTGTTATAAAAAAAAAAATAAAAAAAAAATTATTTAATTGATGTTTAATAAAATCATTTGGGTTGTAAACTTATAATATAATAATATTATACTTACTTCCTGGTTATTATAAAGAAACAAAAAATAAATTTATTTAGTTAGATGATGTTTTAATAAAAATTATTTTGTGTTGTAAAAGTTAATTTATAATATAACACTTACGGTCTAAGAAATAAAAAATAAATGTATTTAATTAAATGATGTTTTAATAAAAATTATTTTGTGTTGTAAAGTTGTTAATTTATAATATAATACTTACAGACTGGTTATTATAAAGAAATAAAAAATAAAAATATTTAATTAAATGATGTTTTGATAAAATTATTTTGTATTTAAAATTGTTAATTTATAATATAATACTTACGAACTGGTTATTGTAAAAAAAATAAAAAATAAAATTATTTAGTTAGATGATGTTTTAATAAAATTATTTTGTATTTAAAATTGTTAATTTATAAGATAATACTTACCAACTGGTTATTGTAAAAAAATAAAAAATAAATGTATTTAATTAGATGATGTTGAAGATAAAATTATTTTGTATTAATTTATAATATAATACTTACCATCTGATTATAAAAAAAATAAAAAATAAAAGTATTCAATTAGATGATGTTTTAATAAAAATTATTTTGTGTAGTAAAGTTGTTAATTTATAATATAATACTTACTGGCTGGTTATTATAAAAAAATAAAAAATAAATGTA